ATAGATTTCTCATCCGTCAACCTCCAACATAGCCAAACAAGTAAAGTAAGTTCTAATGTTTAGTAATGTTCTTTACTTTTTCTTTTTCCAGTCAGCCAAAGAAAAAATTGAATCGATAATTTTGCTTTTTCTTAGTTTTTCATCGTAATTGAGCATGATAATGTTACTGGATTACTATAGATGATGGATTATACCTTATTTTGTTGACTTCTATAGAAATGTAAATGGGATGTCTTTACATTGAGTAATGTGAAAAAGATTCATTCAAGAGTCGACTAGAAGAGTTTCTCGGGAAGCACTTGCTCCTCTTGTAAATCATCTTTCACCATCTTCATTTTTTATGTCTTCTGGAATATTTTGTTCTGAATTATTATTTTTTGCCTCTAAAGTTGCTTTGATTAATTAAATTGTATTGTTTATATGGATCTTTATCTGGAAATCAATGGGTATCATGAATGGAGGGAGAGGTGATAGAGTTATGGGATTCAGTTTTGGATAACCCAAATTTTCCACTCTTCTCCCTAACTTAGCCTATATTGTCGGATTTCTTCTCCTCTATCCACGTGGAAGAAACTATAGAAGGTTTGAAAGTTTTAATTCTAAGTTGTCTGTTGATTGCTATCTCCATAGTTCCTCCATTATGGGTATGGCTCACTAAGTGATTAAATGGTTGCCATCCTCTTTTATATATACGGATTTTAGTCAATTTATTTGATTTGGTTTTGTAGAGACATGGTCAAAGGTACAACAACCGATACTGACTTTGTTTTTTGTTGGAATGCATGTGGCCTATCAATTCTTCTTTTACACCGTTATGTAACAAGGTCTTTTGAAAATCTCTTTAATTTTGATTATCATTGGTCTTTCTACCTTAGATGTGGCATAAGGGTAAAATCCCCTTGATCTGTAGTTCTAACAATTTCACCCCCACATGGTGCCTTTCAAGAACTCATTGTTGCTTTACTATCGGTGTCATAAATTCTTGAAGCATCACTATTTTGTTTTATATATTATTATTCCAATTGTTTATTGTTTTTTAGAAGATGATTTTTTTATCTTTTTACAACAAGAAGGTGATAATGAGAAGAAAATGAAGCAGGTACCTAGAAAAAAGAAAGGCAAAGAAACATGTTTCCTTATATTAACGTTTCTGTATGTATCAAATCTTCTCAAAATACATGTTTCATGCTTTTGAAATTGGGTATTCAATTATTAAGAATGGTATAGTAACTTATAGTTTTATCCATTTCACCAAATTACTATCTTAAAAGAAGTACTTAATTACGATGGTTAGAGTACTTCCATTTTTTTTCTCTTATGGCATTGTACTTTAAAAAATTTCTCAATTATAACATTGTACTTTCATTTTTTTTTCTTATCAAGGCAATTAATTTTTTTTTTCATTAAGACATTATACTTTATGTTATTTTTTAGAGAAAATGACAAAAATAGTCATTTACACTAATTACATTACAAAAATAGTCAAAAAAAAATCGAAATTACAAAAATAGCCAACAATTTCGCAGATGAAAATGTCCTATCTGCGAAATCACCATTCCATCTGCGAATGTACAAGCAGCTGAAGCACAGCTATGCTTCAGCTGCTTGTACATTCGTATATGTTTTTTTTTTTTAAATTTTTTAAATTTTTTTTCTCTCTATATATTGAAAATGTAGGGGTGAAATCGCAGATGGAAATGCCCCATCTGCGATTTACTCTCATCCCATCTGCGAAATTGTAACTTTTTTTTTAGGATTGATTATGAAATCAAATGGTTTGACTACGAAATCATGTTCCTATATAAAAAGTTTTGTAAAAAATTATCATTTTGATTGTACAACCTATATTTTCAAATATAAAATACTCATATACTTTCATATATGTAGAGAAAAAAAATTATAAAAAAAAGCCACAATTTCGTAGATGGGATAAGAGTAAATCGCAGATGGGGCATTTCCATCTGCGATTTCACCCCTACATTTTCAATATATATAGAGAAAAAAATTTAAAAAAAAAAAACCATATGCGAATGTACAAGCAGCTAAAGCACAACTGTGCTTTAGCTGCTTGTACATTCGCAGATGGCATGGTGATTTCGCAGATGGAACATTTCCATCTGGGAAATTGTAGGCTATTTTTGTAATTCCGATTTTGTTGGTTATTTTTGTAACGTAATTAGTGTAAATAACTATTTTTGTCATTTTCTCTATTTTTTATGTTTTGTATATTATTATATCACACTTTCATTTTAACCGTGATGATATTTGTTGATGCATTTTTTGTTCTTTTGGATTATTACATGTTTCTAAAGTTAACAAATTATTGAAAGAAATTAACCGTCCTCTATGAAAACGTATAGCTACCAGTGTGGCGGATCAAGTTTTTTCAAATAATAAAAATAAAAATCTTGCGTATTATAAAAGCACTCTTTGAAAATCAAAGCCAAATTAATATAAGTTTGTGAATGTGAACATTTTTTTAAACCCAAAACAAAAACATACTTTTACTCTAAACCAAAACAATAATATACTTATGTTTTGAAAGAAAAAATTATGTTTTTTCATTTTTAACTTAAAACAACTTATAATCTACAAAATTAAAACTTTTAGTCGAAATGACACTATTCGTGAAAATGAAACAATGCATTCAACGTGCTTCAAATGTATACATTTTGAAACATTAATATATTAAATTGTTGAATTGGTAAGTCGTGTTGATCTGTATCTAAGTTCCTATATCATACAAGTAATGGCACATTTATATTCGTTCTTTCAAATTTGAAAGTAGCCAAATAGTTTTTGATTCGTGAATGAAATAAAGAACCGGTGCTAATTTCATCAATTATGATAGTGAAACAAATTGTAATAATAGTTGTTTTAAATGGTCGTATATTATATGATGTATTTTTGTAAAAAAAGTATAACGTACATATTAATTTTTGCTTAGGATATTTGATAATTTGTTTAAAAGATTACGAGTAGTGTAAATTCAATATTAATTTAGAATAGATTTTTAACCAAAAAAGCTTAATATTATTTTGTTTATTTGCAACTTTTTACATTGCGATCATACTATCATTTCCTCTTGTGCTGCTTATATTTAGTCTAACAAATTTTATTTTTTCATCGTGACTAACTTGTATTTCCTAATTATCTTATAATATATTAATTATATTTGTAACCACTATATTATTTACAAAATAACATCCATTAGTATATATAAATAAATATGGGCCATTTTTTAAAAATATTATGCTTTTATTATACTTCTTAAAATGGTTTTTTATGAGGATTTTGAACATCATGAAGTGGAAAAAAAACAAATTTTCTTTTATAACATTCGATTTTATGGAAATTATTATTTATAGTACCCTACTTTGTAAAATTACATTTTTAGAGGATTTCAAACATGAAGTGGAAAATTAAAAAAGGAATATTTTTTTATAACATTATACTTTCTAAAAACTATCATTTATAGCATATTACATTGTAAAATGATCTTTGTTTTTTAAGATTTGGAACACCCATTGGAAAATAAATAAATAAACTTCCATATATTATATTTATAAATAAAAAATATCAACCGTATAGCACACGGGTTATAACCTAGTATATATATATATATATATATATATATATATATATATATATATATATATATATATATATATATATATATATATAATCATATGAACGGTTTCAGGTAACGGGTTTCGGTTTTGGTTTTGGGTAATCGGGACGGGTAGTTTGTTTACCATCCCCGTAACAAAACCCGCAAAAATTTTCTAAAAGCATATCAAACCCAATAACGACCCCGATTAACCGATCCCAAACCCGACTCTAATATGTCGGTTTTCGATTTTCATGATCGGGTTCGGTTTCTTTTGCCATCCCTACCTGGCAGAGAAGGTGTCATTGGAGAAAGGCAACCACAACATCAAAAAGGGGGATGAATCAGAAAAGAGATCCGAAGAAGTGGCCAGCCAAGCAGTAGGCGGAAGGAGATGATGCAGTAGAAGAAGCCGATGAAAGGGCTTTGGTTTGGTGCCACCCGACTTTTTTATTATCTAGACGGAGAAGAAAAGAAACGGAAAAATAAGTAACATAATGACGACACCTCCGACGAGTATTAGAGAAGGTCGTCGGAGGTGGAGGGTGGCATCTACGGGTTGTTGTCAGAAGTAAGGTTTTAATCTAGATCTTTGATACCATGTAAGATAATAGATTGATTCATTGATAAATAGTGAGGTTAAACCTCATATAAATAGGATTACACTGATAAATGTAAGACAATCCAAATAAATTGTTCAATTTTGTTGATTAATATATTATCATGTTTCTTTTATGTTTTCTAAAAGTTGGTTTTTTGCAACATTTACAAAAATAAAATAGAAAAGGGTTCTTCTATGTTTTACAAAAACAAATAAATAAATAAATAAATAAAAATCAAAAAATTCAAAAAATGTGTTATTTATGTTTTACGAAAAATGAGATCTTATATCGTGATGTTCTTATTTGTTTTAGGCTAAATTACACAAAACTTACTATGTTTTTAACTTTTTTTTGAAAGTTCGTTTTTTTGTCAGAATTTAAAAACTATGTTTTATAATCTTTGCAATATTGCTTGTTTACCCTGTGGCTTTACCCGGTTGCCACTACTAACGTTGCATAGAACGCTGATATGACATATTGAAATGATAAAATAGGTTATGTAGCGCTGAGAAGACATATGATAATATGGCAAACTTAAAAAACATAATACAAAAGACACTAAGTTAATCATACTTCAAAGTTCAATCCAATCTAGTTAATAAGGTAATCATACTTCATACTTCCATACTTATAGTTAATCATACTTTGCACCACAACATAACAACATAATTAGTTAATCATACTTCATAGATCATAAGCATATACATGTTATACTTCGCACCACAACATAACAACATAATTAGTTAATCATACTTCATAGATCATAAGCATATACATGTTACCAATGTCACACAATTGATGATACTTCAACACATTCAAAGTTAGCAAATAAAATGATTAAACAATATGACAATTAATCATACTGCAATACTTCTAAGTCTTCAACGCAATTGGCAATGCAACCCAGACATTGTCTAAGTGGAAGTGGAAGTCATCACAAACTTGCAACTCAAGGGAGTGAGTGAGTGGAAGTGGGAAGCTTCATAAATTTAGAAAGATCAAGAATTTGGGACTTGAGAGGGAAGACGGACACATTGTGTCATGGTATATGGAAACAAAAGAACCGATTGAATATTTTCCTAATTAGATCATGTCAAAACAAATCGTTTTTTTGGTTTAGGCAATTAACTAAACGCTATAGCATGCAATTACCTACATAGGTTCATGTTACACAAAAGTTTGTTATGTCAGACCAAAAACACATGACACAATTATCCGATTCGACACCCATAAAAACATTCAACAAACAAAAACAACAAAAGAAGCCATGAACCAAAATTCAAGATTTAGCAACATGAACATCCATAGGTGTTTCTACTCTCTACACAAGGAATAAATCTTTAAAAAAATAAAAACTACCAATAAAGTCTGATAAAATCCCTAAAATCTCTAGTAATTTCCAAATCCAAAAACCAAAAATATCGCTATGTAAAAAAGTCATATCTCAAAACGAAAGGTTTATTAACGATCCATGCTCTCCACTTAAAGCATATCATATCACACCACACTTACCTCACAGGCTGCTGGTTATAGTGGTTCTTCTCCTTCTTCTTAGCAGCCGCCAGCCTGGCAGTCCTTGCCGCCGCCTCACTGGCGGCAGCTCTAGCGGCAGCATCCATTTCCTTGTTAGAAGACTTCTTCTTTTTAGCAGCAGCCACCTTCTTCAACTTCTCTTTCACATCAATTCCAGATAACCCTTCCACCTTCTCTTCTGATGCCACAGAATTCTCAGGCCCATTGGAGACCTGTTGTTCTTTGGTCTCTTTAGAAGACTTGTCTTTCTTCTTCTTCTTTTTGGAACTTTTGCTCTCCCCACCAGGGGCATTTTTGTCTTTCTTCTCCTCTTCTCCATTTTGCTTCTCCACCTTCTCTTGGGTCCCACCTGAAAAACAGATGCATCAAGAACGTTAAATGTTTTAGAATTTGGAAGATTTTTGTTTCTAAAGAAGATATAAATTGTTAATAGGTTACTTAATTACCATGGGGATGTTCTTGGGGAGTGGTTTCAGATAACCCTAATTCTGCAAGAACTGCTTCAAGTTCAGCAAGTTCTTTCTTCTTTATTTCCTTCTTGGAGAGTTGTCTGTCATTGTCTTTAGGCACAACAACCTCTTTTTCAGCAGCCTTTTCAACAACACCTTCTTTTTCTGCTTCATGATCGTTTTCTTCATCATTCTCATCATCAAGACCTTCATCTTCACTTTCACTTTCCTGCATAACAAAATTACACAAATTATACACAAGAAGTTGTTTTAGCAACAATATAACTAATAATCGCCATTTTCACTAATCACTAGCAATCAGTATGCCTTGTTTGGTAGATATAAAAGATTAAAAGCAGTTAAGTATTTTGAAAACCGTATACTATCCATTTATGGCAAATTCTATTCAAATAAAGTAGGATAGATGGTGTTCGATAAGTAAGAAATAATGAAAGGAGACATTAATAAATAAAAAAAATTTGTTCTCTCTACACGTGCGTATAAGCCCTAATTATTTATTATGAAGAAGGTGGTCGATGAAAGTACAAGCCATGCAAATATCCCCACAAAATAAAGTAAAAAAAAAAGTAACAATAACTTAGAAACAAAGTTAACTCTCATGCCCTACAATGTATGCTTATGATCATATGATATTTAGGGCTCAAATCCTAGGAACAAAAAACTAATTATCAATATTACATTAATGCTCTTACTTTATCTATTACTTCCTTAAGTAATCAAAGAGCACCATCGGTAGTAACTAACTAACTATGACAACTTCATGGGCATAATAAGTACATCTAAACACTATCTTATCCTCATTATTCAATAAGAGACAATCACTTTCAATAAACTCATCCAATCAAAGAGAATCAGTATCGCATCTAATGTCATCGCACATTTCTCATGAAAGATCAAAGCAATAGCACAATATACAGATTTAGATGCAAATGAAGTAAACCTTTTGAATGAAAACTCACCTCAACTGGGGTCTCATTTCCTTTAACCTTGTCTTGTTGCATTCCAGCACCGGCGCCCCAAACAGGAGGCGGAGCTGTTGTTGCATAGTAATCATCATCGTCTTCATCGTCCACATCCGCCCATGATTTCACCGTTAACGGCGCCGGAGCCCAGAAAACCTGCTCCTTCTCCGCTTTGCTCTCCTTATCCTGCTTCTTCTTTGAACTACTTCCCTTCTTCGAAGAACCCTGCTCTTTATCAGACTTCTTCTTCTTCTTTAGACTTCCAAGAGCAGCAAAAACGTTCGTGCTGTTAATTGCTATCGGATCATCCTTTCTGTTTCCACCACCGACCATCTTTCTTCAGAAACTCGATATGAAATGCACTCCAAATGTTTTCGAAGATCTCGAAAAGACCCAGGGTTTTGTTTTGTGTTTTTTTTATACGAAAACAAACTTCTATATGCAAATCGCAGTATACACCTATGCACAAACCTAAAATTTGGCAAAGATTATTTAGTTTAAGCAAACAAGATTTGCAATGGGGATCAATAAAATGAAAATCTAATTCGATTAAACTAAACCGCAAACTAGAGTTCCGGATAAAATCAAAAGAAAATGATTGCGCTTTACGTTTGGGGATATGAGGAAAAATAAGATTTTATCACGAGAACACCAATAACAAAACTCCGATACCACAAAATTAGGATCGGAAACCCAGATCAAAAATCGATTAAAATTGATTATAGTCTGGAATAATAAAGATTGACGATCTCTTCTCCTCCTCCCCCAAATCGACGATGATTGATTGATTTTTTTTTTTTTGCGAAATAAAGAAAATGATTAGGGTTTTCGATAATTTGACAATGGCAACGGATCGAGAGGTAGAAGAAGATGGCGATTGAAAGAAAGGATATCGAATGATTGTTGAATTAGGATTCGGACGACGATCAGCTGGTTCTACGAAAATTTGATGATTTTTGTGTTTGGGAGTTTTTAGGTGAGAGAGAGAGAGAGAGAGCGAGAGCGAGCTGGTGTTTTGCTGTATGAAGCATGAAGTATGATCTTTGCGAGTTATTTATTTATTTTTTTTTCATTTTTTTCTAAAATCTTGAGCTTATCTTGACCGTCTACTTTAGATGTAGTGATGAACGTTCAGGATTACATCGTCTATATCCCTCTATAGTAAAATCCCTCTATAGTAAAATCTACTCATAAAAAATCTTTTTACATATTTAAAATTCTATATGTTATTTTTCTAGTTATTTTTAATTAATTTTTTTTCACTATAGTTTTTTTTATTAAATTATACATGATATTTAAATTTAATAGTTGCAATAATAATAAATACATATTAATTTCAATTATTGACTTCTTCTAACTTCAATATATCTAAATTAAAACTTCATTAGTTTCTTTTATTTATTTATTTAAATTATTTGTTTAAATTTAAAAGAAAAAAAACACGTTAATTTTAATAATTCAATATTTTTTTAATTTTTCTTATAAATTCAAACTTTTTCAAATGTTTAGAAATTTCATATTTACCTTTTTTAAATGAACCCATATGATATATGAATCTTACACCTAGTTGCAAAATAAATCGAAATTAAGACAATTATCTTTTAGAGTAAATTACAAAAATGTTTATATCCTCTTAGTAAATGAAGGAGTTTTTTTTTTTTTTTTTTTTTTTTTTTTGCCACATATCAATCTTTAATTAGTTTTGACACTTATTAATTTGTGATATTTTTTAAATAAATAATATCCACATGTCAATTTATGTTTTTTTTTCAATTTTTAAAAATAAAAAACCACATAATCTTATACTTATATATGTAAAGTATCAAATGTAATACATACTATAAAAAATGAAATTAATATGTTTCTTCATTCCTTATTTTAAAATTTATTTTAAAAATACTTATTATTTACATTTTAATATTTTATTTTTTTAAACAACTCGTGTATTATACACGAGTTTTACACCTAGTTATATGATATACATTGAAAATTATGATTTTGGTCGTTATATGGCTCTTTTTGTCAAGTTGTTCATTTTGTGTGGTTAAGGAGGTTTTTAAGAATAATCTTATTGGATTTTATTTGGTTTAATTGGATTTTATTTCATTTGGTTCGGTTAATCACGTTTATAAGAATTTTTAAATTACTAATAATCAAACTAAATAAGGTTCGGTTTAATCGATATTGTTAAAAATAGATTCAAAATGCCCCTTCACTGGTAGGGTAGATCCACTAATATGTGCTAGACTGATAAATATGTAAGGTCTCAAGGGTCTAGATATAGGCTACTTCTTTTGTAATGGTTGATAAGTGATACATTTATCAATATTTTATCTAATGCTAAATTAATGTTGGTTCCACACTTCACTTCACATTGAAATAACACTTGCACTTCACATTGAAATATTCTTGGGAAAATAACAATGTAGCACAACCAACTTTACAGTATATCTTAATTTGGTCTTCGAACTTTTTTTTAGCAATTGGTCATTAATGTTAACTAATTAATGTCAATTACAACACTTTTAGACATATGACGGGCTAAGCCGATGTCTTAATTGAATTGACATTTAAATAAGTTAGAAAAATATATTTTGAAGGCCTTGTAAGTAATTCCATCTATCATTAAATGTGATATCTTTAAAGGTTGTCTTATTCACTCTCATTAACTAGGGTTTCGAAGTTATCTGGCGAACGAACTCAAGAAGTAGCCAAGCAGTAGCAATGTCGATCTCGAACCGTGATAGGTTTCTTCCTATAATGGAACTGAATTATCAAGGGATATTTCTTTGACATCCATTCTCTTATAATCATAGTAGGGGTGTGCATCAAACTACATAAACCGTCCACACAGTACCACACCATATAATGCGGTTTTGAACGTTCATGGCATGGTTTGCAGTTTGTAATTTTTGTAAACTGCATTATGCGGTGCAGTTTGTGGTTTATATTTATAAAATCATAGTTCAAACCGCACCGCACCATATATTATATATATATATATATATATATATATATATATATATATATATATATATATATATATAGAGAGAGAGAGAGAGAGAGAGATATGTTCATTTGAGATCATTTTAATTTTCTAAGATATAGGATGCGATCCTAGCCACTTATCTTGAAGATCAAAAAACAAATAAATCTAAAATGCAAAATAACTTTAAAAAATTCAAAATTTCATTTTTTTAATTATTAATTTCATCATTTTATTTATCCAAATAAGTAAATATATAAATAAAAATTACCCTTACTCTCGAAACTAATGAATTGAACTATCTATATGCACCCTAAACACTTCACAACTAAGCTTATGCATTACACTCACAAATTAATTTATTCACTTTTTAAATTAAATATGCAAAGTGTGATGAAAACGTTTTCTGTACGATTACAAAATAAACTTATATGTACTTTTATTAGTTATTTTTACATAAGTAATAATTAATTTAAAACTATCTAACATACTATTTTAGTAATTGTTTAAAAAATGAATAATTACACCATAAAACTTATAAAGTGGGAAAAATCATAATTCATAATATTGAACAACGAATCAAACCGTACTATCCGTACCGCATAACGCAATTTAAAATTTATGTGGTGCGGTTTGCAGGTTAATTCTCAAAATGCATATACAGTGTGGTGGGTCGTGAGTTAGTGGGTTAGAAAACTCAATCAGAACAAGATCCATATAAATAATCATGTTGTATTGTTCAAACCTAACCTAGATAAGTCAAACCCGGGTTCACAAGTACGAGATCATGGCCTCACATGTCAAAATCATGTTCGTTGATCATAATTAGGCTTGCGAATCATGCTCATTTAATTAGGGAAAATTCTAGATAAAATAAACAAATTTACACATCCGAATTCCAAAAAAATAAACTGATAAACACATAAAATTTCATAAAACACATTGAAAGTCTCAAATTTTTAATCAGAAATCATATTACACGCCTCGTTTATTTAGTATTTTACGGCTTCAAACTCACGTCGTTAATTAGAGAGAAAGAATGAAACATATTAAAGTTACGTTCAAGATTTAGGACAAATTGAAAATACGCCAAAGCTAAGAAAAGAACAAAAGAAATATAAGAAAAAATGTTTTATTAACCATAATATAATATACGGATTGACTGGTTAACCTGCAAAACCAAGTACTAAGCCATCGAGTTATGCAGGTTGAAGGGTCAGAAAACTCAACTCAAACTCATTTATTTGTGTGTCATATCGAGAATTGTCACCCCAACATATCATGATTATAATTTGAGACAAGATCATCAAGGTATTTATCACCGTAATTGTATTTGATCTATGAGATTCTGGATCATGCATAAAGATGGATCTTCATTATCCTTTTTAACAAGAAGCATAGGTTCATGGGTACCAATAAAAATGATCTTTATAATGTGAGAATTAATAGATTGAAGACGGATCATAAACAAGTTTCTCAAACGAGAAATGTGATGTACATCAAAGTAAGGAACTCCTTTTAAAGAAGAAACATACGAATTTTCAATAGAAATATAAAATACTGAAAATGAAAAGTTGTTTTGTAAAAGTTACGACTTTAAACACAAAATGAGAAGATTTATCACGACTTCTTTAAATGAATTCAAATATGTTATAAAGACCACTTGTTGGGTCCTAGAGACATTAACAATATTGTAGATCACACAACTAAATAAAAGCTTTATAATATTTTCAAACAAGAAAGCAAAATTTTCAAAGTATTTTTAAATAAGAACACTTGATTCTTCACCCATATATGATCCTATAATATTGAAAAGAACACTCAAGAAAACTCTCCCCTAAAAATCTTTTTGTGTTTATGTATTTTCACAATCACCCACAAATTTTATTTTCATTACATGATTATGCTATCATGTAATAGGTACTTTGGCTATCTTATAATTTATATTTTAATGGAAAGAGTTGTATTCATTGTCATGAATTTTTGGAAAAAAATGATATTTGTTGTTATAGATGCAAACTGAGAGAAACATTGATATTGTTAGGCCACAAAAAATAAGAAAATCATAAGAAATACAATTAATACGAAGAATATCTTTATCATTAGCCACCTGTTTGATGATATACCATTCAAGTACCTCATTAATTGCCCTTGTGCCCCTTCTACATTTGCTAGTGTATCCTCCATGTTTTCATCAATCCTATCACATTATTCAATTTTCATTTATTAATAATACCAAAATCGAAGCACATAATATATGAAAGAGTAATTTGTTCAAACGTAAGCTATGTATTCTGTGTTTCTTTTGAGTTATCCCATTAAGTTCTTAACCTTTTACAGATTTGCCCTCAATTTTTAATTTCCCTTAATTTATTCAGACGTTATTTAATGGAAAAAAAAAAGGTACCTAATTGCAAGCTCCCCTTGTTGAGAAACCATGGTTGCCAATTGTGTAAAAATGTTGCCCAATTCATGAATTGTTGACTCAACATTGTGAAGAGCCTCAGCTCTACTCTGCATGTAACTATTATCCTGTAATGGAACCATTTCTTGACTTTGACTTTGACTTTGACTTTGTTGTTGTTGTAACAACGGTTGAGATTCTCCATCTCCCTGTTTCCTGGAATGTTAAAACAGAATCAAGGGTATGTTATTTATTAAATTATTAAATCCAACTTTTGACTTGATATAGAAAGAATGACTTAATAGAAAAAGTCAGGAAAATGAGGCTTTTCTCATTATGTCTCTCAACTTTCTACAAATTCGCCTTCATTTACTTTTTCTTTACATTTCCCAAGTCTGCAGTTATTTTCTCAAATATATATATATATATATTTAAAATCATTTACCTAGGGAATAGTGGAGATGAAGTTGAGGAATTGGTAACCCAAGGAGGAGGGGTATTTGAGGAATTAGTTGTTGATTTGTTAGCCAATGGACGTTGGCGTGCAAAAGGATTTACAGGCTCTTTTGTAGCACTTGCAGAAAACAACTGTCTTCTATTTTCATGAACCTTCAAATTCTGCACTCAAAAAGATCACAAACATGACAAATATAAGCCACATAAAGAAAGATTCTTAAAAAAAAAAGCATGAGTTGTTAGGCCAAGTTTGTTACACGGGACAAGGGCGTTTAAGTCTTTTGGGTGGGGCAAAAAAGTTGCAATTTTTGTCCTATTAACAAATGGGACCTTAGATTCTTGGATGTGTAATGAAACAAAATTACACCTCTGTCCTCATTGTAAGAACTTCCTTGAACTCCTTTGTGGCACCCATGAGACGATTCTTGAGATTATCAACAACTGTAGTTGAATGTGTAGTTGTGTCACTTGAAATGCTTTGGCTTTCATTTTGTGAATTGCAAACTAATTGCAAATCCACCACAGCTGCATTCAGTGCAGTGATGTCCTGTTTGATCACACCTGTTAATTCTTGAATCTCCATTGTTGGATCATCGAAGACAGAGGTCCTTTTTGCCACTGCAAAGAGAAAAAGGATTTAGGGTTACATGTAAGAAATATCAATGTAGTTTTATTAATTTAGATTTTATCAAGTCTGATTAATTACTTGCAAATATTTATAAGGGGTGATCTAATTTGTTGATTTCACACAATCAATGATGCATGGAGAAACTCTATCTACTTACATAACACAAATGCCAATGCACATAGTATGGATTTGTGAGTGAGATAGGGTTTCCAGTTTCCAAAATCACTTTTCATTGCAAATTCAAAAGCAAATGCAACATCACAGCTTGTGATCAAATAAGGAGCAACATTAAGGCATCTGGGAAGCTTAATTATGAACATGTCAATCACCAATAGTAAATGCAAACTTTCTGTGTTGATATTTTTAGACATTAATATTTCCTTAAGAGTTCTAATCCGTATACTGCATGTTCATACGAAGCTAAAGCACACGTGCATACAAATTTCCCAATATATTGATTAATAACTCACATTTTGCAAGTTTCGCTAGCTTCTGCGACGTCTGATGAATTCCATATCCAATTTTAGAAGCCCTATTGTTGAATTCCGTCTGGATTGCAACCTTTGATCTCGGTCCCTCAGCTTTGGTAGAAACCCAACACCCCCGTTATTCGCACTCGCCGACGCATTTAGAGAT